AATGATACATATAAATTTCAAACAGATTGGATAATAACTTTTGTCGTTAGAGCATTTACAAGGTACAACAAAGTGAAACAAGGGCCATAACTCACGGTGTGATTAACAGAAATGGCTGAAATTCAATAGGCTTCTTCGTTTCACTAATTTAAATAATGCATATCAATTTCAAACAGATCGGATGATAACTGTTGTCATTAGAGCGTTCACAAGATTCAACAAAGTGAAACAAGGGCCATAACTCTAGATGTAATTAACGGAAATTGCTGAAATTCAATAGACTTCTTTGTTTTACTAATTTAAATGATGCATATAAATTTCATACAGATCGGTTGATAACTTTTGTTGTTAGAGCGTTCACAAGGTGCAACAAAGTGAAACAAGGGCCATAACTCCAGAAGAAATTAACGGAAATTGCTGAAATTCAATAGGCTTCTTCATTTCACTAATCTAAACGATGCATATCAATTTTATACAGATCGGTTGATAACTTTTGTCATAAGAGCGTTCCCAAGATTCAACAAAGTGAAGCAAGGGCCATAACTCTAGATGTAATTAACGGCAGTTGCTGAAATTCAATAGGCTTCTTTGTTTTACTAATTTAAATGATGCATATAAATTTCATACAGATCGGTCGATAACTTTTGTCATAAGAGCGTTCCCAAGATTCAACAAAGTGAAGCAAGGGCCATAACTCTAGATGTAATTAACGGCAATTGCTGAAATTCAATAGGCTTCTTTGTTTTACTAATTTAAATGATGCATATAAATTTCATACAGATCGGTCGATAACTTTTGACGTTATAAATTCAAAGTCAATCGGATATCAACTTTAGCCTCTAGAGCGTCCAGAAGCAATTGTGGACGCTGGACGGATGGCCGGATGGGGGCGACGGCAATATACGACCACATTTCCATGTCGGGGTATAAAAAGTGGTTGTAAATTACATAAAAAGTGGATGAAATGTACATTTACATACATTGAGGAAGTATATATGTATCATTGTCGCGTAATTCGACATAAAATTCGGTAAATAAGAACGATTTGAATTGCTAAATAAAAGATGAAATATGTACAATATAAATCCTATTGTCTATACAAGACTACAAGGTGGGAATTGGTTATTGAAGGGGATCTCATTTTAGACATTGTTTCATTTGATTAAACGCGCAAGTTCACAGATTGACCTTTGATTGATAGTATGCATTGAAGGCTGAGCCGTTGGCGCCGAAATGAAAAATAAAAATCAGCATGGTATTGTATCTGTCCCGTGGATTCAGCGAAGATTTTAAAGTTCCATAAACTTATAATTATTGAACGATAGATCTGCCGCCAATAGAACTAGACGATATAATTACTTGGGATGTTATGTGAACATTTAAATAGTTCATCAATAACACCGTCTATATTTCTAATCGTTTTTTAAAATACAATATTAGAGCACTAGTATCCTGTATATACAGTCAAACTGGGGAAAATATTGCCATCTTTTTGTTATAGTTGATTGATCAGAATGTTTGAAAACCTTGACCTATATAGGTGTTTCGTAACAAATGTGGTGTTTTGATACTTGATTGGGGCCATAAAGTAATAAACTAAATAACAAGCTACATGGATTATTTATTTCAACCAAAATGTGTATTAGAAGTTGTTGTCTGAATTACGGTTGTTAATTTTGTTTATAGATTTATTAATTGACTGTTTTCGATAACTTAAAAAATTGTGCAAAATGAAAAATAAGGTAATTTATGGTTAAAACTTTTATGGCATGTAAATAGAATACATAGAAACGTGTCTTGTCTGCGATATCACTTATGTGGAAGCAGACGTTAAACACCAAGAACGAACGAACGAACGAACGTGTATAGTAAAATTTACTGCAACCAGTAACAAACTATCTCTTGATACGTGCGTACCTGTTTTATGGAATAATCTACCATTTAGTTTAAGATGTTGTACATATCTATATTGTATAACAGTAATACAATTTTGATTTATAGTATTAATATTACTTTGTCCTCTTTATTTGCAAAACATCTCTCCGATGATGATAATAAATTTGAATTACTTCTCAGTACCAGTTTGAAACGTAATTGTCTAAGGTCTAAATGAAATGTGAAGTTTAATCAAATATCAAATTGGATTGGGGAACAGGGAAATGCATTTCTGCATAAAATTACAATGCTGTTTGTTTCAAAGCTGCGTTGGGCTGTTCATATTTGATATCTGTGATTGATATCCAACTATCATAAAAAAAATGGCCTATTAAAAACTAAAATCTAATAACAATTTAAGCTATATGTTCTTTCAGAAAGTATTCAGATATCGTAAATTATCTGCTAGCTATTATAAAAACGTACAATACACAAACAGGGTAAGTGATATGATCAACGCTTCCCGATCTGAAGAGCTACCAATTTATCAGAATTTAATATAGTTTAATATCAGTATCTTCTCAAATAAAGCAACCAAACAATTTTCCAATACGTGCGAATAAGCTCGTGCATGCCTTTACATGTATAAATAGAATTGTAACTTTGATCAAGGAGCCGTTATTGAGTTTGCCGACCCCGTGCTCTGTACCTACTATGCGTGAAACGGTGAGACTGAGATGGTTGGGTTGACATTTGTATATTATATTATTTTTTTTATCAGGAATCCGGTTATAAGGTACAAATTTGAATGCATTTTAGATAACGACGTTAATTAAGCAACGGTGCTTATTTAAAGATGGGTTCCCAGAAAAGTATTTATCGGGTGGTTATTTCCAATGAAAGTATGGTAATTTTGGTATATATGGAAAGTAGAGATATCCAATCTTACTAGAAAAATACTGGATTCCCCGAAAAACACTCCATGGAGCGTATACAGGACAAAAATGTAAAGGTTTACCTAATCAACAGCCCGACGATTAGGAAGTATTTATCGGGTGGTTATTTCCAATGAAAGTATGGTAATTTTGGTATATATGGAAAGTAGAGATATCCAATCTTACTAGAAAAATACTGGATTCCCCGAAAAACACTCTATGGAGCGTATACAGGACAAAAATGTAAAGGTTTCCCTAATCAACAGCCCGACGATTAGGAATTTCTGCACGCGTACATTGAGCGCTTGATGTACAAGTTGATAAACTTTATGAAGAGTTAGACATACAACACTTTCTGAGATAAAAATAACGGAAAAAGACGCGGGTAGTGGATAATCCGAGAATATAATTAGGATTCGAATTCGATATTTGTAATAAATAGTAAGCGATTAAAGACAACATCGTCTTATGTATGCAATGAATTCTCCTCTGACTTCTAAGAGAGGTAAGTGATGTGACGAAAACATGACCTGGTTTGATCAATTTTTTATAGCAGGGCATTTCTTCGCAATTACAATGTTTGAGAAGGATTTGAAGCAAAATTATGACAAATTAATTAGTTTGAATATGTTTTTAGTCCATATATACCATTAAATCACCCAGTTTGTACGCGGGAACCCATCTTTTAAGCATAGCAAAGGGGCGTATTTATAATACTATGGGGTCTATTTACGGTAGAGGTTACCTAAGTTCTGTAGAGGTGTTCTTGTTAATGTTTTGTCGTCGTTAGCTAGTACCACTGAAAACAAGAAATAAGCTAACAAGAATGTGTCTGGTGGTCTAAAGTTGGGTAATGACATCATAGTCTGATAATTCAAATATGGTAATCCCATGTGTTAGAATCGTGGTGCCCATATAAGTACACTGTGTTGAAATCTAGGGTAGCATCTTTGCACCTGACCAATCCGGTAAAGGAAGCGCCTGGTCAATTTCCCGGGGCTCGATACATGACTCATGCATGTAACCTCTTTATAACGAACGTGCGCAGTTGAATTTCCTTTAGATATCATTGAGAGCCTTTCCCAGAGAAGGTCGATTATACCAACAGCCTCCTAAGCTGATAGGCTGGGAAACAAACATGGTTCGGATTAGAGCACCCTGTTAAGTCGTAGGAGAGCCATATGATGTTAGGGGGTACGTCAGCAAACTTGTCCTACAAAATGGTGGGATAAAGAGAATGATGATAATCGTAATCTAGTAAATACAAGCTCGGGAAAGAGAACTCATATTTAGCTTATATTCCTGTATTATGGATGTTATAAAGATATAAAAACATAGTTAACGTAAAAAGTGTTCCAGTCTTAATTTAACATTGGAAATAGTTATCACAACGTGAATTCGAAGAAACTCCTAGACGATAGTATCACGGGCCGTTGTCTGGAAGTTCCTGATTGCACATCTGACAGGCCGTAGTTTATACAGAGTTGAAAAGCCAATATCATATATTATCAAAAACCAGCTGAGGTCATATAGTTCTAAGCACCTAAATGATAGTTTAATTTGATGAAAGTTAAAGAGTACTTTGTTACACACACCAAATTTGAAAGGTATCCATCAAAAACTATAGCCTCTTTCCTGTTCACAAGCCAATTGTTGACCGACGGACTAGGTGATGACATAATATGCCTACACTAAAATATGGGCATGACATCGCCCCTGGGGAACGGACATGCACCAACATCAATAATTGCTGGATATAAATAAGGAATTAGTATGCTAAGTTGCAAGATGTTCCCTTCATAATTGCAGAGTGTAGGCGAAGCACATCTCTGGGGGCAGGCATGTACCAAAATCAATAATTATGGTATAAAATTAAAAGAGTAATAAGTATGCCAGGTCCAAGATGATCCATATAGAATTGTGGCCTGTATGCGATACACAAAACAAATTGCGGGGCGGTCCCTGTCCCTTTCAGGTTGGACATACACCAAAAAGAATAGGGTATAAGGAATAAGTATGCAAACTTTCAAGACGATCTGTTAAGAAATATAGCATATACATGTATGCCATACACGACACACAGACTAGGACGACGGCATAATACGTTCCACATTACAAATGTGGAGGTGTAAAAAGGTAAGACTAAATGATAAATGTTTATTTTACATAAAAAAATATCAAACATATTACCAGATTCTGGATCAGATACTGTAAAACATCAGATGACAATAAGGAAACACTATTAGGCCCTGAAATTTCAACAAAAATACCAAATAAATGTTATCTTACATATTTACTTATTCTATTTTACTCTCAATGTTGGTAATAGTGGATGTATGTCACATTTACTGTAATCTACGGTGGGTATGTGAGCTGTTTTGAAACATACATTAATCATTATATTATTTAGTGATTTACCTGCTAATTTTTCTGCTAAACAACCAAGTATAACACCTATATTCCTCTGTTGACAAGGCCATTTATACATATCAGATGCACCATCTTGTGATAAATGTAAATTATTTCTAAGTTCTAATAAAGCTTCCTGAAATACATAAGTATCAATCAGCGGAGAAGAACAATTTTTCGTACAATCAGAGGCCATAATTCAGGAAGTTACTATCTGATATGCGCGAATATCGAAAGGAGCCAAGATCTTTGGGTTATAAACTTACATTTCAAGTTTCATCAAAATCGGATAAAAATTGTGACCTCCATAGGGTCCACAACATTGATATACCATATTTGGGTAAGAGAAGCGGCCATTTTGTCTGTCAATTTTGGTCAGATTTTTACGAAATTCGAACTCAACGTTCCTTAGGGTATAACGGTGATATACTAAAACGTTTTTTTAAATCGGATAAAAATTATGACCTCTATAGGGTGCACAAGCATAAAATGTGATTTTTCTTACAATCAGGGGCCATAATTCAGGAAGTTACGGTCTGATATGCGCGAATATCGAAAGGAACCAAGATCTTTGGGTTATAAACTTACATTTCAAGTTTCATCAAAATCGGATAAAAATTGTGACCTCCATAGGGTCCACAATCTTGATTATATACCATATTTTTACGCTAATTGAGAACGAGGGCCGGACATTTTGTCTGGGCCGATTTTCATGAAAGTCGAACTCGGCCATCCTTAGGGTGTAACGGTGATATACTAAAACGTTTTTTTAAATCAGATAAAAATTATGACCTCTATAGGGTGCACAAGCTAAAAACGTGATTTTTCGAACAATCAGGGGCCATAATTCAGGAAGTTACGGTCTGATATGCGCGAATACCGAAAGGAACCGAGATCTTTGGGTTATAAACTTACATTTCAAGTTTAAACCAAATCGGATAAAAATTGTGACCTCTAGAGTGTCCACAAGCTAAAAACGTGATTTTTCGTACAATCAGGGGCCATAATCCATGATGTTACGGTCCGATACATGCCAATATCGAAAGGAACCGAGATCTTAGGAAGATAAAGCTATATTTCAAGTTTCGTTGAAATCGGATAAAAATTGTGACATGTAGAATGTCCACAAACAAATTGTTAACGGACGTCCGGACGGATGGACAAACAGGGGCGACGACAATATACGTCCACATAAAAATGTGGGCGTATAAAAAGATAGCCATAGTATAACATTTGCAGGTCTTTCATTAGGCCCGAAATGTTACATAAACTATAAATTAGACATTTATTAACTTGAAAAAGACGATAATCAACTCTCGATGCCATCCTATCTGTCCAATTTTCATTGTATTTGAATCCGATCTGCTGTTCAACGTCTGTTGATGATTCAACGCAAAATGGATAATCAAGACTTTGTTAATTATCGTGACTGTGCTAATGTTACCCCATCTGAACAGGGGGTACATTTTAAATGAAGATTGGGTCAAGTCTTGCTGGATGACTCTGCTGAATAGGCCACGTTTAAGTTCTCTTCCTTCATTTTAGATGATGTGTATAGCAGAATCGCCATAAGAGAGAGACAAGGTATTGTTCTAACATCTATTTTTTCATTAACCGGAAACGAAGAGCGACTACAATAGCACATCACAATACATTCATGATACAAAAGTGGAGGCCTTAATTAGGCTTTCAGACTTGAAAGACTATTGTTTTTACTAAAATTATTATCATTTATTAGGCTTTCAGACTTTCGTCTGAAAGACTATTGTTTTTACTAAAATTATTATTATTAGGGTTTCACACTGCGTAGCAACTATAAGAGATAGAAGTCTGAAGTTTGGTTTTCTCTCGGGGAAAATGGGTGGTGGTTAGTGCTTAAATGTAAAACCAAATTTGTGCGCATAGCGGAAATGCGTCAAATCTTTAACGTGCACGCAAATTGAAAATCGGCCACAATTCTGCTAATTCCCAATCGATTTTTCTCATATTTACATTTTTCGATAGCTGGAGACATTTCGGAGCAGATAGCAGTTCAAAAACGTCGAATTTAGAAACTTTGTCGCGTTGATTTTTTAGGTGAAAATTGCAAAATTTTCAAAATTTTCTAAAAAAAAATTTATTTCTTGGAATTTTTAAATTCTGATTACAGTTTTGGATAGCTGCGTCGATCCAATTCCAACGATATAAATATTTTTCTGCAAAGTTAACTTTGATTTCTCACTTTTTTTCGCATTTTAGTCAAAACGTAGAGATCGTACCCATTTTAAACGGCCCAAACGATTTTTCTGAAACTTCAGGAATATGAAGGCGAAAGACCAAACTAGTGTTTAAAGTAAAAATGAAAATTGTCTAATCACCGGAAGTAGTCACGAAAGGTATCCAAAGTTTGACAAAATTCAGAAAAATGGGTGCCTGTCCGGAAATTATTTATTGTTCGATTTGTATAAAACAAAGTTCATATGCTCTGTTGTCTCAATGGTCATTTTTTTTGTTACCGATAGTGTTATCTGTCGGCACCGGAAGTGGCATAATTTTACCAAAAACTACAATTTTGACAGTAAGGTACCATTTTTCAAAAGCAAATATTATTTTTTTTAAAACTCATATAACTAAAAGAGTGTGCCCTTTAAAGGCGCAAAAAACGCTGAGCTTAGTTTTTTTAATTTCGATTTCATTTTCGAGCAAATTCGATTTAGAGGTGAAAAAAATTAACCTCTTTACAACCCATTCAGGCTTTTCAAATATCTACGTAACTTTTATAACCTTGTAGCTATAATCCATACGAAGAAAATGTATGTTAAAATTAGTTTGTAATATAAGCAGTTGCCTAGAAATGGGCAATTTTGTTTAAGTCCCGGTTTTCGTTATTTTGCCTGTAAATAGTCAATTATTATAGGATTTTTATAGAAAAGACATAAAGGATTTTTCTGAAACTTCAGGAATATGAAGTCGAAGGATGAAACTAGTCATTAAAGTAAAAATGAAAATTTTCTATTCACCAGAAGTGGTAAAAAAAAATGCCAAAACTTGGACAAAATTCAGAAAAACGGGTGCCTGTGCGGAAAATGCGATGTATCAATTGTTTTCTTGTTGTTCAGTTAAAGTTTTATATCGTCTAATAGCCAATCGAATTGTCTATCAGATGGTACTTCAGCGACAAATTTCTATCAAAAAATAAAAAAGTTATGTGACTTTGAAAAGTAAGGTATTTTGCGATTTCGAGCAACTTTAGACGCATATTTCTCGGAAACGCCCCCAATTTTTTTTTTAAAAACACTTTCTCAATCGAGAGGCTAATGGGTACTCTGTTGTGTGAAACCCCTGTATCATTTTTACGATTTGGAGCATTTTTAGAGGTCTATTTCTCGAAAAGTCAACAAAATATTTTTTTGGAACTTCTTCTACAGAGAGGCCTATCAGTAGTGTTATATATAAAACCATTGTACAACAGTTCCAAATTTCAGGAGTAGCAGAACAAAGGGATCGAAAATTGAACACGGCACCTTTCATTGTTAAACGAAACATAAGGGGGGATACAATCTGTACGTTTTGTCAACGTATATAGCCTATTCAAGAGTGCTTTTATCAGTGATGATATTTGAACTAAAATTATTTCAACTATGGGTGTTTTCATCTATCTAAAATATGGGTTTAGTGACCCTGTAACAGAAATGGTTGATTGCTGTGTATAATAATTAGTCTTTGAATTAATATTGTTGCTTCTTTGTCAAAAGGGGGGTTGGATGGCTGAATGGTTAGCGTATGCACGCTGTATCATAAAGTCTGTCATTGAGTCAACTGGCGTGGTTTCGAATCCCCGGTTATACGACGCAAGGAGTAGGGTCGCCTGTCCAACCTCGTGGGTTTTCTCCGCGTACCCCGGTTTCCTCCCACTGCTAAAGACCCCTACGCGCAAGCGAATTATTGAAATAAAATTAAACCATATGTTAGTCCCGAAATGACCTAGTTTGTGTCGAGTGGACGTTAAACTCCATTTCTCTCTCTCTTTGTCAAAATTATCTTATACCGGTAATCATCTGGACAGAAATCGACGGCTCGCGCTGTATATAAGAAAGTCCAATTTGTTAAGCAGTTGCAGTAGTATCGTACAGTAGTATCGAATATTTCACCTATGATAAAAGGCATGACGTTGTTTGAGCATGGACTATATCTGTAATTAATATTAAATTTTTATTAGTGACGTCAAATCTTTAACGTGCACGAAACCAGAAAAGTGGCGATATTTCATTGAATATTTAATCAATTTTTGAACCAGTTACATATTTGAGTAGCTGACATGAACGCGATTCCGAAGTCCCGTGTACACATTTGTGTGACCGTAAAAGATCCCTTGGCGGTTGGAATTCTATATAAAAAAAGACTAGCGTCGCTGTACGAGCATGTTTAGAGGTCTTTTTCTCAAAAAGGCAATCTAATATTTTTGGGGGGAACTCCTTCTATAGAGAGCCTAATTGATATATATATGTGTATGGAAAGAGAGAGAGAGAGAGAGAGAGAGAGAGAGAGAGAGAGAGAAATGGGGTTTAACTTCCACTCGACACAAACTAGATCATTTCGGGACTAACATATGGTTTATTTTTTTTTATTTCAATAATTCGCTTGCGCGTAGGGGTCTTTAGCAATGGGTGGAAACCGGAGGACACGGAGAAAACCCACGAGGTTGGACAGGCGACCCAACTCCTTGTCACGTTCAACCGGGGAATCGAAACACCGCCAGTTGACTCAATGACAGACCGTATGATACAGCGCAGTCTCAAAGTCTAGCCTACCGTGCAAATTCCAGCCAGCATAATGTATCTATATATAAGACATTTATTCCTACTGGCGATTTACAAATATTGCATGAAGAAATTCAAATCATATCAACATAAACACAACTAATACACAGTATCATATTGATTATAAAAGTACAATGTATATATTCGTTACACTATATATGTCACAAAACAACAATCATTAGAACAACAAAGCAACAATCATTATTTACTAATTATATAAATCATTTTAAGAGGTAGGAGTTATCCATTGTTTAATTTAACAGTTATATAATTTCCCTGGTTAGAAAGGTACGAACAATTAAGGTATTTAAACAAATGATTACGAAAGAAGATAACA